AAAGATCTGTGTCTTCATGCTTACAAAATTCAATTAACACGACTGAAGCCTAATGACCATGAATAGAGAAGAGAGTTCTTGGAATGGATTATAAATCATCAAAAAGTGGATGCTGCTTTTTTGAGCAAAATAATCCTAAGTGATGAAGCACATTTTCACCGTGATGGCTTTGTTAATCACCAAAATTGCCGTGTTTGGGGCTTGGAGAACCCACGTGTGAGTAGCGAAAAACAAATGCACCCACAATATGTCACTGTTTGGTGCAAATTTTAAGGAAGAGGCATCATCAGACCATACTTTTTTGAGAATGTGTCTGGTCAAGCATAATTGTTAATGGTTCTCGATATTGCGATATGATAACACAGTTCTTTCTGCTGAAATTCAATGATATTGATGTGGCCAATATGTGGTTTGAACAAGACGGTGCCACATGCCATACAGCCAATGAAACATTTCAATTACTGCACGAGACATTTCCTGAATGTATAATCTCTCATTTTGGTGATCAGAATTGGCCCCCTAGATCATGTGATTTAACACCATTAGATTTCTTCTTATGGTGTTATTTGAAGTCAGATGTCTATGTCAACAATCCCACAACCACATGTGCTTTACAAGAGGAAATTAAATGCTGCATCAATGAAACTCAACCACAGTTATGCAGAAAGGTCATGAAAAATTTTGACGAAAGGGTGCATATGTGCCAGCAAAGCCGTGGAGGTCATTTGCCCGATGTGTTATTCCATAAATAACCCTATCCTGTGTACTTTATGATTCACTTAAAAAATAAATATCTAAAGACTAAACTCTTTTATATTGAATTCAAATCTTGCATTAATTTTGGGACACCCTTTATATGCATTTGAAAAGTTACTGCTTGATTAATATCCATCCAATGCATAAATTAATACAGTCAAAAGTCGTTAATCCGGACTCGTCGGGACTTCGACGATTCCGGATTATAGATCATCAGTTTAAATCTCGTAAGATAACATGCAGAAATTCTAAAATTAAAAATATGAAACCGTAATTTATGAAATAAAGAACAATTATGATCTAAAGGGTATCAAAATTTACAAAAAAAAAAAAAAAAAAAAAAAAAAAAAAAAAAGCTTAATATTTATTTGTTTACTTTATTAAACATTTCTCTCAATGTAAGTTGTTTAAGTTTCTTCGTTTTATGTGATAATACTTTCTCTTTAATTCTATAAACAGACATAATTTCTTGTTCAGTTACAAAGTTCCGCTGCTCAAGTCCTGTTAATTGCTGTGCCGAGAATACCGACTAACTTGTCAATCCAAATTTTTTCGTTTTCACTAACCTCTCTGTCACATTCTTCATGTCTTTATCCATTTTTTGCAGCAATTCCACTTTTTGTTTGTTGGACATCGAAACATACTTTCGTTTTGTAGATCCTTTGGAAGTTCCAGCATAGGAAATTCTATTTGACATAATCGAAAGTTCAAGTTTACTTTTATAAAATTGCTCTTACAGTCTGCAAAAAATAATAAGCGGGATCCAATTCGAAGATTAAGGAACAACGCAATCATTAACATTAACTGAATTAGATAATTTTAGCTTACACCGTCCGTTATACATTAAACGCGCGGGGGAAAACGTGTTCTGCACTTGTGCACACGCATATGCGCAGTAGTCAAGGTCTTACGTGCATGTGTGAAACGCCTGTGCGCATGTGCCAACGCGGCGCATGCACAGAAAGTTTTTAGCTTTGAGGTCCGGATTATAGATCATCCCGGATTATGGGTGTCTGAATTAACGACTTTTGACTGTATATGGTAAAAGGACTAAACATTATGCTTCAATCATATGGTTGTTTAAAAATCAGTTTAATTTTTTTTTATAAAAAGAATTATGAAGATTGAATTTCAGTTCAGAAACTACTATAGTTATTGTGTAGTTACTCCACTTTTATAGTGTTAGCATCTGAGCTTTGCATACAACTTATCATTAATCAGCATGTGACATAGTTTATGAATAAAATCGTTACAGAAGTTGATGTTCAGTAACTTTAATCTATGCTGTATTTTGGAAATGTAAAATGTGTGGAAAGTAAACTCAAAGATGTTCATTCCGATAATGGTCTCTTTAATATGTATAGAGAGAGCAATAAAGTTTTTTTTTTTTTTTTTTTTTTTTTTTTTTTAAATATTCCTAATGTCATGTTACAAGACAACTGGATATCAATTAAAAAAAAAAAAAAAAAAAAACAAGAAAATTGACATCAATATATCCATAAACTCAGCGAGTTCCTCGCCATCCAGTAGCACTCCCAAACCAAATATAAGGAAGGGCAGGGCGTTTACATGCCCAGTCAATGTCTTCCTTAAGATTGCAAAGCGTCTGGAGCAACATTCATGCGTTGGAAGGTGCTTATGAAGGCAGTCATTACCAGATATAAGGTGGGGAAAATGTGACAGATTTCTTTCTGGGCCATTCAGGTACTTCAAGAATCTGTCTAAACAATTATTTATTTCTGTCTGCGAGTTCTTGGAAAAAGGAGTCTAAAGACTTTTCTAACCATTAACTTATTGGAGTTGAAAGGTAGACTAGGCTGTGATGTTTGAAGAACAGAAGAACCCTCCTTAGCCGAGAAATCGACGATCTCATTACCATGAACTCCACAATGGGCGCAAATCCATTGAAGTACAACCTCTTTATCATAACCTGAGAGGCAATTAAGAATTAAGAAGATCGAAATAGCAGTCAACAATAGCGGGATTCACTGGTAAGTCAATAGCTTGAATTACTGCTCTGGAGTCTTATAAAAAGACCACGTTTGAAAAATGCCCCAGAGTTCTGTACTTTAAATGGCAATTGTACCTAACCCTGCAAAGCCATTATTCAGAAGGCCGTAATACCAATTAATCATGTTAGAATGAATGTGGATATCTGAAATCTTTGAAATATTGTCCTCAGCATCGTTAGTGGACTGGCTTAATAATGCCACTTGTTGGTTAATAGACCTGAACCTTCTGAAGCCAACTTGTTTTTCTTCAAAGACCTTATTTGTTTCAAGATATAAATTTAATTTTGAAAAAATTATTCTTTTCATGGTCTTGCATAAAGTGTGAGTTATATTAATCTATAACTTGATATAAGACTTGGGTCTTTATCCTTTTATGGATCAGAATAATTGTAAATTTATGCCTTGAGAAGGAAGAGTTCCAGTGGTCCAGATAATATTAAAAAATAATCAGAATAGTTTCATATGCTCTAGAACCCAAGTGCATGAGAAATTCAGTGAAAGTACTGTCCTTGCATGGGGACTTGCATGGTTTTAGGTAATTCAGTGCTATCTTTAGTTCACTTAAATTTATAGAGGCATTAAATATTTCCTCATCTTCACACAACAGGCTTTCATTTTGTTTTTAAGGTTTTGGATTATTTTCTTAGAAAGATATCTTGTGTAACCTTCTTTGTGCTGTAGACTGGAAAAGTATTGCACAAAAGGAATTTGCAACCCTGGAATCAGAAGTGATAATTCTATCCTTGTAGTCAAAGGGTTGTTTATGGCCATTTGCTTGTTTATTATTAATACTCATAGCAAAACTGTAAACCTTTTTTCCATCTTTATGAAAGTCGGTAGTTAATATGAAGTCATGAAAAAGAGGCTCTTTTAGGCGGAATGTTTTCTTAAAAATTGCAGCTTGTCTTCTCAAAGTCGCAACATCTTGGTAGCAGCCAGTCAGATCTGGTTTTTGCCTGCACGTTTCTGCTTTGCATCCTCCAGATTTGTTGAACAAAAACATTTATATTTCTTCACCTTATGCCGTGAAATACTCTTTTACTCTTTTAGCAGACATGATAATTTTATCTCTTAGGAATCTATGTTCTGTATTTGAACAGAGATCAATGTTCAGAAAGTTTCCAGGTGGCCTTCTTCAAGTTCCAAGATATCTTAGATGTGTGTCCATCAAAGCATGGAACAGAAATGGCAAACTCTGTAATAACCTGATGGTGGCTGGAACCACGATCTTCAAGTATCCTATGGTCGCAAGAGTGACTAAGATCAGGAGTTACTAAATCTTGTGTGGTTTTTGAACCGTTATAATGTAAATAAATGTGAGGGTCCTTGTTATTATATACTTGGTCTAAAGACATGGAATTAAGTAATTCTTCAGCTGTCTCACTAGGTCAATTCCTGTTACTATATCACCCATAAGGTGAGTGTGTTTAGAAATCCTCAGTGGAGACAGATCTCCTGGAGACATAGAGGGGAAAAAGTCTGATTTGCATTCTGGAGAAGAGTAAATTGAAAAAAATTTAAATGCTTATCAAATTTCCAGTTAGTAGTAAGAAAGGTACCCTCGCTTTTGTCATGACCAGTGCTCATCTGTGTAATGATTTTAAAGTCTACCATGAGACATGATTTAATTACAATCAAAAGGCCACTGGCAGTTTGCCTAGCTTTAGCTACAATATAGGTAGTGTAACTCTTGAATGGGAAATATTTGGTATCTTGGGCTACAAGCCTCTCCTCCATGATTGAAAAAGCAAAGAAGTTCAAGGATACATTTCACTAAAAATTATGTTATACGAAGCTTTTTAAGTTACATATAAATAAATGCATTTATAGAGTATTTAAGTACTAATGTTTTTAGAAGTATGTTTACTGAATATTCTGGTAATACCTGTGAATTAAAGCAGACCTCCCCCCCCCTGAAATCTGATTTTCATTCTCTGTATTAAATATTGTCAAAATATATATTTCATCAAATAATATCTGTACCTGCTTAAATGGTATAAATTGTGTTATCGGTGTACATCTGAAATTATCTGTACTCTTACTTTCTTTTCGTGCTTTGTAATGTGATTTTGCAAAGTTGTTGGTAGAAAGAATTTGCCAAGTATTATAATCTGAAAATTTTATAATTTATTTGAAGTATACTTGTGTGAAATGTTCTTGTGTATTTCTTTTGGTACTGTTTAATACATATATTATAAAAGTAATCATTCTTCCTCATCTTATAATTTACAGGATTTAAAGCGTCCTATTATTGATGATGCACTAACTGTTCTTGTTAATCACGTCATCATTCCACATTCAGGCTGGGATCGTTCACGAAATCCATTAGACCAAGTAAAACCTCATGATATATATTGGTCTACAGTTTTTCGTAATGCAAGTGGTGTTTTAAGGTATATTTTAAAATATTAAGTGTTGTTTTAATGTTTTTGGTCCTAAATAGAAATTAAAAGTTTCTTATAAAAAATCTCGGAAGTAAATGTAGTATTTGATTAGGTGAGGCTGTCAGAACTGCAGAAATTTGTAGTTTTACAGATGAAATCAGTCAATTATATAGCTGCTTAATTTTTTTGCCACTAAAATTTTGTAATTTTTTAATTTCCTGCAAACATATGAAACTTTGTATAAGCTATGCATAGAAAGTGATGACTTGAGAATATATACTTTTTTTTAATTTATGAAATGTATTAATTTCTGTTTAAAATAATTGTGCACAGTTTCACAGTATTTATTTTTGTTGCACTTTTCTTCCAGAAGTTGTTTGTATAGTTGAATTCCCCCCCCATCTCTATTTATCTGTGTATTTGTACCTACATGAGCAAAAGGATAAAGGTGCCAAAAAATCCAACTTGATTTTGTGTTATTTTTTGCAACAGTTTAATTTGTAGTAGTTACTATATTAAATTATATGGATAACTATAAAAATCTAAATTGTTTAACATACTTAATACAGCTTAGTGCAAAATATTTGCAGCACTTCATGGTAATTCATATTTTGTGCATCTAACCATATTTTAAAAATTAATTTTAATAAATATCAGTTTAAACATTACTTAATTAAAGATTCCAAAAGATGTAATTGAGATCTAAAGTAAGAACATTACTGTAAATATTATGCATTAAAAAAAAAAAAAATAAGAAACTTCAAAGCTGACTTTTTTAAAATTGATTTAGACTACAAATAATTTTTAAACTCAAACAAAAATTATAAAGTAAAATTATAGAATATCAAATATTTTACATTAATGAATGAATTTTAAGCAGGTTTCAAAACTTTTGTTTTTATGTCTGAATACACATTGCTTGAGCATATTACTTGGAAATTTGTCAAGGTCATCCATTGAAATTAAATTACATCTACTTATAGCTGTAGTTAACTACTGTATTTCAGTTTCATCTAAAATATCAGTTAGATTGATGTTTAGTGATTGGCCTACTGTTCGTCCCTATGACTTGGTGCTTTATCATCCTGAAAGATGTAAAAATTATTTTGGAACTACTTAATAGCTCAAGGAAAATTTTCTTGTAAACACATAAATACAGATTACTTATGAAATACCGTGTAAAATAATGTGTAAAGGCATTCAGTGAATGGAATAAAACCATGCTTCATATTGTAAAAGGCTTGGGAAGATGAATTCCATAAAAATAAATGAATATATAAATAATAATGTACCAATAGTTACCAGCATGAGAGATTTCCGCTGTTAAGTACGCGGTAGAAAATTTGTACAATCTTTGAAGAGTATGTAAATTCCCTAGTGCATACATGACAGCATCACCACTCTTTCCTTTTAGAAAGTGAATGTTAAGTTGGTACTTCTTCATTGATTGTTGATTTGTGTTCAATATTTGATTACCTTGCCCAAGCGTGCTTTACTTCTTGTAAATCTGTTTTGCTCGAGAATCCAATGCTGGTGTGCATCTTAGAGAGAAGTTTATAAGACTTCATGATGCACTTAAAGGTCTAATGTTTTTTATAGCACTGAGATGCATGATTAAAACAATTTTGTGTAAGATAGGGCTTGGCCGCATATTCTATGTTCAGAGCAGAATCTTTCATTTCAGCATTTGGGTAATAAGTGCTTTATCAGCCAATATTTTACAATAGAAGCCCACAAGCGTCCTAGCAGTAAAATCACTTGAGACTGGTGTTTAAACCCAGGTGAGGCAAACAGGCTAGCTGCATGGGTGTTTTTTTTTTTTTTTCCCTTATCATGGATCTGAGCCAATTTCCCTGTGAAAATGCTTCACAAAGGTATTCCATCCCTCAGGCATGTAGCTGTTAAGTTCCTTCCCATAACCAAATAATTCAAATCCAGATTTTCCATCGATTCCACCAGAAAGAACATTCCCGAACATGCCCCGGGTGACTTTCGGCTGTGGAGGGGAGGTACCTTAAACCTGTTGTGTATACTGGTGCATTACAAACCTAATTTCCTTGAAGGAGAACATAAGATGGGCTTTTACAAACATCTAAATTAGCAATTTACAGGGTTTCCATGCTACCTGGAAAACTAGTAGTCTGAGAATTTGAAAATTGACCAGTCAGGGAGTTTAAAAAATTTCAGTCAAAATCTGGAAAAGTCTTTGAATTTTGTACGCAATCCTCAAAAAAGCAATTTTCTTGCCAGCAATGGAAGTGATAATTTTCTTGGTGAATTATGTATCGCATGAGCATTATTTGGATAGCTGGCGTAGTGACAATTTTGGCAGCACCAATCAAATTGCCTTTTAGAAAAGCAAGTTTCTAGTAACCTCGAGAATCCAGAGATTTGCAAGTTGAACGAAAGTAAATTCCCCCCATTCTCATATAAAACAAAATCTCTTAAACCTTCTCTTCTTTCTTAAATGCCTTATTTGACATTTTGCAGTAAAGTAATTATTAATCATCTAAACTAACTGTTTAATACATCTATAATCGCCAAAATACTTTCAATTTTTAACTTTAAGCAATTAACTTTATTTTAAAGTTATTCATAGCATTTAATGTGGCTTCTTCCTTCTTGATTAATTTATTATTAGTTAAAGTTATTCATAGCATTTAATGTGGCTTCTTCCTTCTTGATTTATTTATTATTACTTTCTAATTTCAGGCAATTTTCTCTGGCACATTTGTGAAACTAGTTCTAGCAGTATGGGGACATACCATCATGAAATTTAGTGTGCATATTTTTTACTTAATGTATTTCGCTAAATAAATATAAAATGCGCTTCAATTTATTTTAAAATATCATTAAATAGATTTCTTTCTTCCTTTAGCTGCAAAATGAAACCGTAATTTATGAAATAAAGAGCAATTATAATCTAAAAAGTATTAAAATTTTTCAAAAAAAAAAAAAAAAAGCTTAATATTTATTTGTTTACTTTATTAAACATTTCTTTCAATGTAAGTTGTTAAGTTTTTTTTTTTTTTTTTTTGCTAAACGCGCATGCGTAAGTTTGTGGCTTTGAGGTCCGGATTATAGATTATTCTGGATAATGGACGTCTGGATTCCAGACTTTGTATTGTATATGAATTACAGACTGAATTTCAAGGCTTTAATATGGCAGTGCTTAATTCACTCGCTGATAAGAACTTTTGTAAATTTACGAACTTTGCTTTGAACTCTTGACTTTGCCAAAATAACAGAGACACCTCTGGATGTAAGGTGCAATTGCACCATAATTCGATGTGTTTGGTGATAAAGGAATAAACTAAATCAACTAGTAAAAACTATGGTAGTTGAAGCTAGTAGCAAAGTAATGATCCAATCCCATGTTATCTATCTGTAAAAAAACAAACTAACAGTTTTTCCTTGTTTTTTTATGTTTATTTGCCATCTTCCTTCCCTCCCCCCAAGGTAACAATTATCAAGTATAATACAAATGTGTTATTCAGAATAAAAAGTGAAGGCATCTTACGTGATGCGTGAAATGATATCGGCATATTTAATTACTATCTGATGTTAGGATTTATTACTGCATTATAAAAGTTTGTTAAATCACAGAGAACTAAATTTAATTCTAGATATGTGTTTGATTCATTAATGGTTAAAGATTTACTATTCAAAATTATTTTACAGGGTTGCCACGCTACCTGGAAAACCGGGAGAACCGGGAAAAGTCAGGGAATTCGAAAATTGACCAAAATATTCAGGGAAAAGTCAGGGAATTTAAGTATTTTTGTCAAAATCTGGAAGAGTCAGGGAAGTTCATACAACGATCCCGCCAAAAAAAAGCGATTTTTGCGCCGACGTCGGAAGAGATAAATTTTTTGGCGAATTATGTATCACGTGAGTGTCATTCGGGTAGCTGGCATAGAGCCAATTTTCGCAGCTCCAATTTGATTGTCTTTTAGAAAGGCAAAGCAAGTTTCCAGATTTTCGAGAATCGCATGTGCAGTGCATGAACTAAAGAAAGTACCTGTTCTCGTATAAAACAAAATGGGTTTAATCCTAGTATACGGTACCATGGAGGTTAGAATCAAAGAATATGTATTGTAAAGAAGGAAAACCTCTCTGCAACAGACGTGGCTCCGTTCCATCATAGAGGGAAACAGCTGTGCATGTCTGATATCTGTCGCCAAAGCTCGAAACCGGTGTCGAAGTTCGAAGGTCACGTTATCAAGAGTTCATAAAATGAATATCGTTTAAAATTTCTTAACGACTTGCGCTAAAAAGACGTGCCACGCACGTCAAGATGCTTTTGTCTCAAACCATGAGCGACGTGAACACCACGTCGATAAGCATTTATCGAAAATAACGTGGTGTGCACGTCGCCTAACAACAAGATTGTTTATTTCTCGAGTTACAGCTCTGGATTGCACTCGCAGATGCGGAGCGGCGTAAATGAGACACTTTACCGCTTGTTATATTGTAGCACACGGCACCGCAACCGTGAAGTTTAGTCTTAGCGCAAGTGGTTAAACTTAAAGGAAAAGAAAATATTTTTGGCGCAAGTAATTAATTCATGGGTTACTTATTTTCAGGAGGAAAAAAAACTACGAAAATCCGTTTTAAAATTATTGCGTGGATTTTTCGCAATAATTTTAAAAATGGATTTTCATAGTATTCTTTTTGTCAAAGAGCGTTTCTTCTTAACACGTGTTTCTCAATTTCCTGTACACATCGCGGAGAGGGAAATTCTGGCCGCCAGGTTCCGTCGCCAAATCCCTTGGCAAATTTTCCCTCCGCATTCTAACGGCGTAATAGCATTTTACTTGTATGGAACGTTTTCTTCTTTACATAGACGTTCTTTGGTTAGAATAATAATGGGATTTGGCGACATCATGATGCGCAGTAAACGGGTCATTTTGGTCTTGGCGACAATTTTCAAAATCGTGCCAAAGCCTTACCGTATACTAGAATTTTACCGCAAATCTTTTTAAACCTTTTTTTTTTTTTTTTTTTTAAATACCTTGCCACTTTGCAGTAAAATAAAAAAAATAGTAATCAGTCATCTAGGCTAGCCATGTAATATAACTATATTCGCTAAATATTGTTGATTATTCTAATTCAATTTTTGAGTAATTATTTGTATGTTATTCATATAATTTAATGTTGCTTCTTCCCTCTAAATTTATTTTATTATTAGTAAATAATATTTCCAAATTTCAGGAAATTTTCTCTGGCATAATCCTGAAATTAATTATAGCAGTATGATGACATACCATCACGAAATTTAATGCACATATTTTTTCCTTATGTATGCTGCGAAATAAATATAAAATACCCCAATTTATTAAAATAGATTTCTTTCTTTCGTTTAGCTGCAGAATGTCTGCAAAAAAAAACGCCTTATTTTATTCCAGATTGGAAGATTCTAATCTCAATCTTCAGTGGAGAAAACAACAACAACTATTATAATTATATTTGTGTTTTCAAGTGTTAAGGTGCCTTTTAAGAACATACCTCACGCAAATTAAATTTACCTAAAATCTAACCTAACTATTTAGCATTGCGCTGTGATTTATAAGGACCGGATTAGCCTCATGTTGAACTGGTGATGATCATGAGTAATAATTAAATAAAACATACATTTGTTATCCAATCTATATATCTTAAATTTTATTAAGTTTCTTAAGTGGAAAACTAAACAAAATTATCAAACAAAGTATACCAAGAATAATTAAGAATAAATGTCCTCTGGGATTTGTTGAATAATTAAGTGAATTTGCTACACAATACAAGTAATACCATAATTAATTTACCTCTTAGCACAGCCAACGTACATTACGTGGATAGACTGGAATTTTCTTGAAACACACCTGGAAAACCTGGAAAAGTCAGGGAATTTCATTCTCCTGTTTGAGTGGCAACCCTGATTTTAGTAATTGACAGAAAATTCATCGTAATATGTATGTAATAAAAATATTAAGTTGTGTATAGTTCCTTTTCGTAGTTTATACCACCACCCTTGAAAACAGTAGTGAAACATAAATATATGTTCTAAATTCCCTTCATTTTAGTGTTTCATTTTATTTGTGAAAAGAGCATTTTTCAAATTAGAATATATAAGGAGTGATAAGTAAGTATTCTTGTGCCTATTTACCAATTACATTTGCTAAATTAGCACCAGATTTTCAGCAAAGGAGTATGAGAACCTTGTGAAATGAATGTATCAAGAATGAAAACTGAATTGAGTTTTGTGTTATAATGAACACAAAAAGGCTGAGCTCATCTGATTATGTGAGGTATACAAATGAGTTTCCTCTATTTGAAAAGGTATTTGTTTCAGACAGCCTCCTTCCTCGAAATAATCCACGGTCCATTCAGCAGCACCAGAAAATTGATAAAGATTGTGGTATAGCAGTTTTATAATTTTGTGCATAAATAAAAGCATTTTGCTTTTCGGATGCATTTCCTTGTTTAGTATTGAAATGGCATCATTAAAATTGAATTTTGAAAGAGAATCCAGTTTTTAACAAAAGATTATCAGAATCAAACTGTAAAATGATTGAAAATTTTGTTATGTCAGCAAGTTCAGAAGAAAAGTTAGGCAATGGATGAAGGTTTTAGTAAATCATCAAGGGTTGATATGGTACAAAGTGACTAACTGCTTAAGTGAAGAAAAATTTATTAAGATATAAATTTGCAAAACTAAATTTTACAGTTTTAGGGCCTTTGTAAAATTTTCTCAGCTGGAAATGGTGCTTTAACCTTTTTGCTACAAAGGTATCCAGTATAAGATTTTAAGCAAAATTGGAAATGGCCCAGTTGAAGCATAGCAGTAATGGTGGTGGATCATGTAATGAAAGTACTTTCCCTTCCCCCTTTAAACAGGTATCAAAGAACAGTTGTGTCATCTCCTGCCTGCCTGCATGTTTTCATATAGCCATATTGTGGGGATATTTCAGCAGGTATTGTTATACTCCCCCTTCATCAGGAATGTTAGGCAAGTTCTGGGACAAAGACGGGCGGGATTTTTTCCCTCAATATCCTAGAGAGTTGGGTGGTATCTTTGTGAAGTATTAAACAGAATTTTTAGCAATCAAATTTTGATTACACAACTTGGCAAAGATCTTATTAGTTAGCAAAGAACTTTCACACTTTAAGATCGAAAATTTTCTAAAAGTGTTATCAATCAATCAATTTATTTCACTTGTGACTGTTTATTAACAATGGAAATTAATTTACTTTTATTAAACTTCCAACTTCATAACAAAATTTACCTGTTTAGGAGATGGTGGCTTCACTCATGTTAAAACTGTACTGTACTTAACCTGATGAAAGCATAAATTATACATGTCTGTGTTTATTTAGTTTATCAAAGCATGAGGAATACTTTACTGACTAGAAGTTTTGCTGTATAAAGACCATACAAAAAGTTTAATTTAATATTTAAATAATGCTGAAACTCTTCATAAAATTCTGTACCTTAACAAAAACTTTAAAATGAAAAATATGAAACTAAATTAATACATAGCAAAGCTATTTTCTGACATGCACCATAATGCTAGGAACTTAAGCTTGTTTTATCTTTTTGTCATATGTGCCATCTCTATTGCTGTTGCAATAGTACAGATATTACAGCTAAAAATATATCTTGTACATTTTAGAAATGTCAGTTCAGCTGGTGAATATGCTAGGAAAAAGCTTCGCATCTGTGAAGGTTTGGTTGAAGCCATGGTGTATCTGGTACGCGCAGCAACTGGAAAAAATGATATGGATAATAAAAGTGTTGAAAATTGTGTTTGTGTGTTAAGGAATTTATCGTATCGTTGCCAAGAAGTTGAGGACCCAGATTATGATAAGCACATGTTTCCTCCTGTGCAGTCAAGAGCAAGTGCCCCTATCAGAGGTAATTATAAAACATAATGAGTATAGTTTATAAATCATCAGTAGTTTATTAAGCTAGTTTGCTTTATAACACCTTACACACACAATAGGTACTAACATTGTTATTAATATTTTTACCAGTATCTGTAATGTGCTGTACAAATTTAATTATTTATATAAGAAGTGTAAGAATTTTTATCAAAGTATATTTAAAATGTTTATTTTGTTATCAGACTTACTATAGCAAAAGAGTACTTTTTTTCAAAATGAAGAGAATTTTCATTCTTGGTCTAGTATTTCCAGAACTAATAAACTTTTTATGAAATTTGATTTGGACCTAAGCTGATATACTGTCTTTCCGTGTGGTGATATAACTAATACTGTAGTTTTCTCTTTTTCTCCTCCTTCTGGTAGCTTGATAGGAACCAATTGTATATTCGTAAATACATTTGATATGTTATTTTCTTACTCTAATTTTTAAATAAAAATATTAATGAATAAATAGCTGGTAAGTATCAAGCTATGGGGGCCTAAGCGGGAAATTTGTAGGGAAGTGTGGTGAATAAGCCATGCAACAATTATTGTTTGCACATGTGATCATGCATAAGGCTCATTGATGCAGAAAGGACTAAGGCAGGTTGTGAAATCAGATAAAAACAGAGGTTAATAAGGGGTATTATCACCTCCAGCAATCTTACAGCTGTCACAATAAAACTTCTTAACTGGAAATGAGATAGTTTATGGGTCCATATGGCAGTTGATCCTATTCCTGCACTAATGCTGCTTTTAGATCTTGAAGGCAGGAGCGGAGTTTCTAAAAGGGTAAAGGCAAGGTGCAGTTGCCCTCCTAAGAGCATTCCGGAGACATTTTGTGTAGGGTTAAGTTTGAAAGACAAATAAAATTGTTTCCCCAGTCCCCCCCTTTTTTTTATAGAATGAAGAAAATTGTATTTTTTTTTTTTTTTCATTATAAGAGTACAGTAAATAATGCAGTAACCTGATAAATTGTTAATAAAGAGTCTAATTCTTAGTAGATGGAATTAATTTTCACCTTTTATGTGCTTTGTAGATAGTATCCTCATGTTTAGTGTTATGCTGTAGTGTATTTCATCATAATTTAGTCTCGATTTTTTTAACTTAAATTCCTTAATAATCAGTTTCATTTATGTATATCAATTACTATAAAATTAGAAAAATATGAAGATCTGTCTCATAAAGTATAATTTCTTTTCAGCTGTTGGGGAAAATCTTGGCTGCTTTGGTGCTAATAAAAAGAAAAAAGAGGCTGCCCAAGCAGCAGAAAAGCAACGAAGAGAAGGCGTCCCACTTACAAAAAATCCAATTAGTCAGTCTGATCCTGTAGGTGGTATGGCATTACTGTGGCAGCCAGAAGTAGTACAGTGTTATTTGTCGCTTCTATCTGGTTGCTCAAATCCAGAAACCCTTGAAGCTGCTGCTGGTGCTATTCAGAATTTAGCTGCTTGTTATTGGCAGGTTTGTATGATTTTATGTTAATGTTGTTATATTTTCCACTTTTTTGAAAATTTGATTATATATTTTATAGAAAGGCAACTATTAGCCTTGTATTGTAATAATTTCTCATATATCTACTATAATGAGTGTCAGCTACAACCTACTGAATATTCTCTGTGAGAAATCGGTATATTGCACTTCCAGGGAGGGACGGACAGTATTTTGTCATTCAATTTCTAATGTGAAACATGGATGTTGCTGTTTTCACAAAATGCATTTTAAAACTGAAAATTTTTTCTCATCCCTTTGAGTTAGATTTTCTTTGCATTATGTTTTGCATATTTTACATTTCTCTTAGAAAATTACCTCTTTTCTGGCTTAAAACTGAACACAAATTCTAGAATATTGAGGAATCTGTGACAGTATCAAATTTCTAACAAATATGATGATGATACATCCAGAACATATACTCTTGTTTTAGATGTATTATATAAGAGGTGCATCAGATAAATTATGCCCACCAGCGGCCAAACGGTAAAGTTGCTGAATGCTAATTGTTCAGTCCGCGTTGCAAATTCTAGGGAAAGGGCTGGCTGCTTGGGTGTATTCATGGTTTTTCTCCATGTGTAATGTGTATACAAGCCCAGTTCCCTTAGACAGTCCTCCACAAAGGCATTCATCCCCTTTGATAAATAGCCCTCAAGCTCTTTGCTCTAATTAAGTAAACCAAACTATTATGAGTTCTTGAGTGGAATGCTGTATAGTATTTCAGAATCATAATGCATGCAGTCAAATATTGACTTTTCCATGGCTGTATACCATGCCATAACTTTCAAAATCTGAATGGACTAGAATCTAAATCTCTGTATTCATAAATCATGTGCTTCTAAAAAAATACTTATTCTTTTTTTTCCTTTTCCTTTATTTGGAATGCCTCAACTGACACATATAAAGCTTGTGAACAAATTATCTGTGTTGCTATTTCTTCCTGCTTTGCTGATCAGAAATATAAGCTGTATCTGTTTATTATTACGTAGATTATTTAATTGAAAGTATTCAACCAAATGCTTCTTAGTATAATCTTCCATTTTTGATGCATATTACTACTGCTTGGAATCCTGCTTGTAACATCTGACATGTGAGTAGAGTTATACAGCTGTCTTTCAGATATGATTTATATCCCACACATACTGTTGTATCAAGCATTTTCCAAGAATTCATCCTTAGAACTGGGCATTCCTCATAGATGTACCGTTTTCAACAAACTAAAACTGTTGCCAGATAGTGTGATTTAGCACCAGCGATGGATAAATGGAAAATCATAAACAAACATAAATCTTCACTATCGTTTTATGTAAGTCAGATTAATCCAGTTTAGTTTTTGTAAAGAAGGATGCTGCATTATGGAAAAATGATTGAAATTTGCCTTCAATTGAATGGCATGATGTGCAGTATTTTCAGTTATGATATCTTAGCATCAAGAAAAGTGTGCAAAATATATTTTAAGTGGCATAAGTATGCAATTGTATTTGAAAATGGGTAGACAGGGGCAATGGAATGTGAAAATTATCATAAATGATTTAAGTTTTTTGGGACCGAGGGGGGGGTATTCTATGTATGTAACCTGTGTCTGTTGATTATCTTACCAAATTTAAAAGTAGTCTACTTTTAAACTTCTGCCAAAGTGGTTGGTTAGAAGTTTGGCAGGATCTCTGCTGACTTTTGCAGATTCAAATTTCACAATCGATTAAGGTGTTTTAATTTTCATGTGTTTAAAGTCTATGAAAATTCGTTGACTTAATGTCTGAAATTCATTTTTCTTTTTCAGTATTTTAACATGATCTTAAATGTGAGCTTTTAATGACAAAGTGAAAGTATTTATGATTTTTGAATGGAAATCATTTGACATTTCCTGAGGTTTTGAATAATCAAGCTTTCACTATACTAACCCATCATGAGTAGAATCTGTTGCACATTTCTGTAGGCTAAACTGCTTCAGCTAGTCAGTCAAGCAGGTACAGGTATAGGTGGGGCAACAAACGAATTTTTCATCATTGGTAGTACAGGTGTAGTCCTGCTACAATATTAAGCTCATTAAGGTTCATCTGAGTTTTGATGGAGAATATTCCAAGTAGTGCAGTTCAACAGTCTTCTGTTCCTCTATGTCCACTGCCAACCATTTGAAAGGATTTTTAGCTCACTTTGTATTTTGAGTGCCCGCTTACTGCACAGACACTATATACTGACAAGCATCCTTGCCTTCTCTGGGATTTGAACCTGAGCCCAGTGTTACAGCAGCCAGGAGCACTAACCACTGTACTAGTCAAGATGGCAGCCAGTCAAACAGCTAAGGTTAAAGCAAGGCCTGCATATTTTCGTTTCATTGATATGTTAGGTATCATTGGGCCTTGCTAACTGTTTAGCACCATCCCAGTTTTGATGGAGAATACGCCCCATGGGCAGTCATTGGTCTCTTACCCATCTTTCCTTACCATAAAGAGGACATTCAGCTCGCCATTTATTTTAAGTGCCGTTTTGCCACATAAACACTGTACACTTACAAACATACATGTCTTTTCCAGGATTCAAACTCAGGTAGATTGATATGGCAGTCAGCCTTACTAATAACTGTATCATCTGGATAGCAGCAGTCAGTCAAACAGCAGCTGTCATAAAATTTAAACAGGTAACATTTTAATGAGTGGGGCTTAACTAAAAGGTGCAGAGTTTACTGCATGTGGTCTAGTAATGAAAGCCATGTGTAAATATGGTTATAAATCAGTTGAATGCAGAAAATCTCCCATGAATGTTTCTGTTCCCTAAGGCAAGTAACTGTTCATTATTTTGTCATGGTAACCCTCCATTGAATTATATCAAATACACTAAAACCTCTATCAACTGAGGTCTCTATTAACAAAGCCTTGAATCATTGGGATAATGTAATAACATTCAGAAAGAGTATAATGAGAATCAGTAATGTTTGTGAATTCTTTTATCAGTGATGAGCCATTTAATAACTTTCCTGTTATATTTTATGATAAAGGTATAGTTTACATGTATTAAATATCAAGGCGACACCAGCTATTAGTTTGTATGCATGTTTGAAAGGATAAAAGGATGTGAACACACCACTGGAGACGGAATTTCAGAATGGATAAATATCGAAAACAGCAAACCAAGTTTTCAGAATTTTGAGTGATAAATTTGCACCATTAATCTGGAAAAAAGTAGAAATTGCAGCAATGAGAGTGGTTTTGAGAATATGGATGAAATGGAAATGAACTATGTGAATATTGACCATGTTCCAAGCATTAAGTAAATATAAGTTGATAATTTTTTGTGTTTCTCCTATGGATTTTTTACTGATAGAAAGATACCGTAGTCACATATGGCAAACAGGTGAAGGACTGTTACAGAGAAGAAAAATCTTTTTAATAAAAATGCATGAAGAAATTTGACAAATTTCAAAAATTGCATAAATTTTGATGTAGTTAGTTTATTTCAGTTTTTTCTTGAAAATTTTTGTCACAAAATATCTTGTATGGATTATTCGCTTAATTGAAGGAAATAAATTTTACTGATAAAAGAATTTCTAAATGCAAATTTCAGAACTCGCACATTTATTCTTTAAAATTCCAAATAAACAATTTCAGAAAACTTTGCGGAAGAAAAAATTGGTATATTTTAAAATTTAGTTTCTGGTAACCAAGTTTTCAATTAGTCAAAGTTTCAATCTCAGTTACTCGAATGATTGAGTTTCTGGTGCAGTTTAATTCAGTTGTAGATATTTGCTGCATTTTTAAACATCTAAGTGTACTATATATTGCTATTATGCTGAGAATAACTTTTCTGCTTCTTTTAATATTAAACCATTGTTATTTAAAAAATGAATGCTTATTTGAGCAATTTTTACTGTGAATATCTGTGATAAATTTAGGAATAAAAATGGAAATTTGTTATAAATGTTTTACTGTGTATGCTTTCTGTGCTTTAAATGTTATCTTAATATTTCCAGCCTAGCATTGATATTAGAGCTTCTGTGAGGAAAGATAAGGGATTACCAGTTTTTGTTGAACTTCTGAGAATGCAGGTGGATAGAGTAGTTTGCGCAGTTGCTACAGCTTTAAGGAATTTAGCTGTAGATCCAAGGAATAAAGATCTGATTGGTAAGATATGTAGGGAATCTAATTTTGAATCTGGTTTCACTTTTAAAGTCCTATGTTGCGGTTTTATGTGTACTATGTATTAATATTTATTGCGCAAAAGTTTCTTGCATTGAAACTTGATCAGTAAAATCAGACCTTCCTAGTTCTTAAATAATTAAATATATGAATGTTTATATATACATTATATATTGTTTTACCTTCTTATACTTTATTTTAGGAAATTATGCCATGAAAGATCTAGTTCTAAAACTTCCAAATGGCAGTCCTCAACATGATGCTGGTACATCAGATGATACAATTGCTGCAGTTCTGGCAACTCTGAATGAAGTTGTGGCAAAGCAAAGTGACTTTGCACGTTCATTCTTACAGTTTGGTGGTGTAGAACGACTTAACCAAATTACTCAGCAGAAAGGCACATATTCTCCCAGAGTTGTCAAATTTGCCTCTCAGGTACTAAATTATGTGATATTGGAAGATATATCAACTATCATCTTAACTTTCAGAATAAGGGTGTATTCAAAGACACAGTTAATTTATCTTTTTTTGTATAATTTAGAACTTGGGCTTTAGGTGTAAAGAATTTAAAGTAAACATAAAATGTTCAGTGAAAACATGTTTACCTTATATGAAAAGTTTTTTGAATCAAGTGTTCTAATAAAATCATATATGTTCCATTTTTTTACCCTTTGTTTTCATATTATAGAGATACTTAATATTATTGATCTCTACTCTCTGCTGTGGAAATGCATATTTGACAAAACTTGCATTGAAAGATGCAAAGTTTTAATCACATGACTGTTGTGTGCTAATGAGCAAAAAGAAAAGGTCAGTGTCTTATGATTACACTCATGCCATGAATTGATATATCACTTAAATTCTGAAGGTTATGCCGATGTGACGTGGATGTTATATAAACTATGTTAGGTTTTAGTATGTGCTTGTTAAAGCTGCTTTTTGTATGTTTTTATTAAAAATCGTTGGGGTAAATGTACTCTCCATGATTATGAAAGAGGTAAAAATTTTTCAAAAATGCAGAGGTTCAGTGAATAGTGGCCTTGATAAATGTTCTTGAAATTTTTCAGAAAACTATGCTGTGTTGTGCAATTTATGACTTTTCAGTCTCTCACAGAACTAGTGACAACTACAAGTTGCAATTAAACAAGGTGAGGCCATTTGTATTATAACTACAGAGCTTTTATTACACAGGGTGGGACACGATATTCATGTATGTATGCTGACCACGTGAATTCTGTTTTTCGATTGATATTTCCCAAGCCCCCCAAAAATATAGCCATGCTATAGCCAGGGGTGTTTGTGCTCCGAGGAAACCCTGGAATTCCGGGGATTTTGAACTTTGATACCCGGAAATTCCGGGGATCGTCATTCAAAAGGAAGTAGGAATAATAATGAATTATTTATTTTGATCTGGGTAATTTTGTTTGCTTTAAAAGCAGAAAACGCAAGGTCAGTGAGTGTGGTGAAAACTTTTCCTTTCTTTCTCCAAAGGCAGTGATAATGCGTGAAAAGGGGGGGAACTTCTTTTTTGTTCTTTCCTTATTGCGAGTTATGACTCATTCCCCCGGTTCTCGGACATTCTCTTCTGGATTCTTTTCGGCAAGTAGGCACAGCAGAAAAAAAAAGGGAGAGACTTTGTTCGACTAGATGTGCGATCACGTGATTCTGGGTTCAAAGGTCTTATCTCTCCTGTTGTGGCGCCAATAAGTAGAGAAGGGGGATTTTTCACCGTATTAGCTATTTGTCATTGATCGCTTCTCAACTTTTTTTCCTCCGCTGTGTAAAATTTTCATTTCATTTATTGATGCACGTGTAAATTTTTCGTTTTGTTTATTGAAATATTTTTTTATTTATGTATGCAAGAGAATTTCACTATGAAATTTCTCGATATAAATAGTGATATTATACAATTAGAAGAAGGTGTCCGGAATGCATTTAGGTGGAATTGGATTGAACGGAGAGATGGTAATGGGGATACCATCGGCACATGGTGCAAGAAAATAAATGTTGCTGGACAAGGATATTGTGTTTTTTGTAACTGCTGAAGTATGGTGGGGAAGGATTCAAGGCTTTCACAAATCATTCTAAAACTGTGACGCACATAAAATATTCAAAGTGCATTAGACATTCAATGACGTTAAGTAATTATGCTAATTAAAAAAATACTGATGACTTACTGGAGACTCGCTCGGCCATTGGATATAGTGACAAGAAAAGCACGCCAAGATGTATTAATAACTTTGTGTGATGTACGTATCGAAATGTCAAAAGCATTATTTAGCTGAAAAATCTAAAGAACGGCTACAATCTACCCTATTCCACTTTTACCAGTTACGCTCGACTATCCAAAATTTTCAAATATTCGGCAATTTCCAAGTAAGCCGGTTAGTTAAGCTTTTACTGTTAAAGGATGACTGCATGAAGCAATTTCCTGTCTTCTAATTTCCGAAATGTTCCTTTTTTGAACTTATTTTTACTTAAATTACTTTGTTTGCAATATCTGTTAAGGGAAAACTGTTATACAATGAAAATTTAGAAAATGTTCAGAATTTTGATTAGAGTTAATTTATTTAAATATATGAGTGGGAAAATCTATTTTTGTGTTAAGCGAATATAATAAATATGGCTTATTATTAGTTATTTTCTCTATTTTAAACTGAAATTTCATCATTAAATCTTGTAAAATAATTTAGTTCTGCTTAGTTTTTTTTTCTCTCATTCTAAACTAGTTCTGTAAATTGAACTGTTATTTGCAATTTAAAAAAAAAAAAAAGAATGCAATTGTTTTCAATGGTTTGAGTAATGCTCATTCTCTCTTAATAAATACTGAATTTGTCATATTTTAAGTTACAAGTCATAATTTTTCTTTTAAGGTTATGTGTAATGTAATTAGACAAGTGCTTTTTTTGTTTTGAAAAGTGCTTAATTTTTTAGCTAAAATGTGGCTACGAACCCTGTCTAAGCTGTGGCTGCTGAGGAACATGTTTTGTGTTAACTGATATAGAATAAGTATCTTATAGTACACATTCAGTACTGCGGTGTGATGACAAAATAGTTTATAACTTAACCATGTTAACTCATATTCAAGAATTCAAAATTTTAACTTATTCAAGTGTAAACTTTGGTTTCATGTGTAAGTAGCAATTCAGTGCGTCATTTTTCTACATATTTACTGTGGGCTTTGTGCTTTTGCTCATCCTCCATTATATGATAGTTTAGTTTGATGTTATAGCCCATGTACTGTTCTATTTATTACCTTATAATGGATTAAGATCGCTGAATACTTAAATACTTGGGCTTAAAGGCCCAGGCAAACTGCCTGACTGGTTTTAGTGGCTAGCATGTCAATAAAATCCACTTTCCCTCAGAAAGTCCTCAACAAAGGCATCCCTCCCTGTAGACAGATAGCCCTGATGTGCTTTATCATATTCAAATAACTAAACCATAGATAATGTTTGGGCCATAGTTGCACTGAATCGAAAATTGGTTCTATGTGAAGACATTAATTTCCATTCTAAATTGTTCATTTGTCCTCAGTTTCTGTTCCAGAGCTGCTCCAGGCAGAAAAATATTTGTTGTTCACAGTTGTGTGTATTTCTCTTAGATTTTACTTTTGATGATCAGTTGATTCAGTGAGTTTGAATAAAATAGATCTGCAACAACTCATGCTTAGTAAATCAAATACTTCTTGCTATGACTCAAACCATGAAGTAAGAATATTTTTTGCTGCTGTATTAAGTATACGAAAACCAGAATACTATAGTTATGCAACAGAAAATTCTTTTATTGTATTACACAACTTTTTATTGACTTTTGTGGGTGACATATGATTCGAAAATGTGAAACAGTCTCTGCCTTTACTTCCCCCAAAAACAAAGAACCTAGTTCAATAAACTGTTGTTGCTGGAAACTTGAATTATGGAAATTTAGAGATTCTATTATACCAGGGCAACTGGTGACTTAACAAAAGTTTAGTGTTCTTTTCTATGAGTTAAATAAAATGAAAATTGATGAAAAAAATTTGTGGGGAAGCAATCTTTTTGCATATTGATGAGTTAAAAAGTGTATAATTTGAAGAATGTGGTGAGCACTTTCTGCTAATCTTTTACATATTATAGATTAAAGTAGTTCATGCAAATAAAATTAATACATTGTTTGCTGCTTTTTTCTGATGTAGAGGAAATGGTAGTTTTCAAATTATATAAATGGACTGGAGGGAATGTATTCTTTTAAATAAAGTTTTATTAATATTGTCAACTTTATTGTTTCAGTCATCAAATTTTTTTTTCCAGTTATTATTTAACATGTGGCAGCATCAAGAACTTCGTGAAGCGTACAAAAAAGCAGGGTGGAAGGAATCTCACTTCATACCAAAATCTATGGCAGTACGAAATTCTCTTTCTTCTCCTACTGGAGCAAATAGTACTCTAAATCGCCCTGTCAGTACCCAGGGTGGGACTAAATATGAAGACCGTACATTACCACATGGGACTGAGCTCAATTCTACTGCTGGTGTGTTTAAATTTTTCTTCTTCAACATGTACTGTCAAATTCTGTTGTGGTAAAATGCTTCTTAATTTCCGGTTTATAATATATTTTGTAATTTGCAGAAACTGTTTTCTATTTCTCTACACATTTTACATGCTGAAATTCAATTTTTGAAATCATTGTATGAAATGAGCTTATAAAAATTTTATGTTAATACAAAAATAAAATGTAAAGTTGAAAAACTGAAATATTTTAGTTATCTAAATTCAATAGAATGTTTGTTTCTGATATTACTTTCTCTTTATTCTTCCAGCTTCTCTTCCATACAGCAGGGTGAGTGTATTTTAATTTTTATTTTAAAAATCATGTGATGTAAATTATTTTTAAAGATGTGTTACCTGATCATTGGTCACTTGTAATTTGTGTACCATAATGAGATTTCATATTTATTTAGTCTGAAGAGCTTCCACTGAGTGAGCTGAGCCATAGTACTGAACCTCCTCCCCCTTCTCAAGTTCATAGGTCTCATATGGGAGTCTTTCCTCCAGGGATGGTAAGAAATTTGCAGTGTTTTCATATTTTTATTAACTGTGCATAAAGATTGTACATAATCTGAGTAAAATATATTTGAAAACTAAATTATAGGCACATATTTCAAAAAAAAATTGGGGTTTGATGATTTTCTCTGTGATCTTTTACATGAGCATCCTCAATTTTCTTTTTGCATAAACATCCTCAATTTCCCTTATTACTTTATAGCTGTAATTGTCATATAATATAGTTGAATTATAATTGCAGTTATAGAGAAATTTGAGCATTTTGTATGGAGTTGTTTGTAAAAACTATTTCAAAGCTTATGTTTATCAAAAGCAATCATTATTGCATACTGTATAATGAAACAACTCCCAGTTCTTTTTAAGTAGATATTAATTTGATCAGTGTTATGTGTTTTAATAATTTCAAAAGTTCTAGTTGTATTATTGTGGAAAGCTAACTCATAATAATATACTTGTGCCATTTCTAAAGACTGCAGTTACAGTGAGAAGAATTTCATAATTGTTTATCTGAAGTTCTCTTGCCTTTGAAATGTTTTTATAACTGTCTGGTATTTCATTTATGTGTCTGACAAGAAAACTTTTTTTATAATTTTAGATTTTATTGCAAGCCAATGTTCATTTGTAACATTAATATGTATGTAACAAAAAAAAAAATTTTTTTTTTAATGATGTGGATCAGTGGTTCTCAGTGGTTTTGACTAACGCATACCATCTAAACAAAAATTTAAAAACTTTAGTACCACCACTACGCTTTACAATGATTATTTTTCATTTTCTCAATAGAAACATTAAAAAAAATATATTTTGCCATTTGCACAAACTATTGGCTATTTGTATTAAATATACTGTATACTAATAAATCGATCACTCTAAAAGAATTAATGATATACTATTATCGTTTTATAGGAACTTATTTTTATTTCCTGTTAAATACAACATCCATTTCTAGTACTCCCTTTAAAAACATCACTTATGGCAAATTTTGTTAGGCCTTTATAGCTAAAAGACTACTTGTGAAAATAAAAATGGATTATTTGGCTAAAAATCTGAGTGGCTGTTGACCTTGAACAAAGCAAGATAGCATAAATATGCTTACATAAAAAAAATTATATTACTATTTTAATTATCAAAGTTTAAGTTATAATACTTGAATTCTTTCGTCATGCCCTTCGGGAGCTCTCTAAGGAGCTGGAAATAGCTTTTTTATAATAGCTGCATGCCAGCATAACAACTAGTTTCAAATTCCAAGTAAGAGTGTGAAATTTGGGTCTGTTTAAAGCATCTTTATGTTTGGTCTTTTTTTCACTTAGTTTTGTTTTAATTGTAAATTATGATCCACCTTTAATTTTGTCTGTATTTATTTTTCAAATACAACATGGAAGAAAATCCTTGCTCGCACAAAGATTGTGCAAAAAGGCAATAAAAATTTAATAGTTTTATTTGGAATGCTTCTCCCCCCCCAGGTTCAGCCAAAAGTTTACCAAGTGTGTTATTTGTGAAATCTTCAGTTAGAGTTTTATCACATGAAATTACTATCAATTGTTCCTTTCCTTCACCTGGTGACATTTCAGGTTCATTTAAACAAAATGGATTTCTAATCCAGTTTTCTTTTTCACAACCCCCGCGAAAATACACATTGAAATTATTTATTAGTGAAAAACAATAATTTTTAATGTTGGATGCTGGTTTTTATTATTATTATTATTATTATTATTTTATTTTATTTTATTTTTCAAATTATTTTCAGTTAGAAAACTTTTGAAATCACTCACTTTTTATCAAGTTCATTAACTGCTTTTTCGTTGAATAAATGTTAAAACCATATTAGCTTCTGGCAATATAATGTTTTCTCCAATAGTGTGAACCTGCCCAGTTTTTGTATTTCTTAGGCTTACTAGATAACTAGCTTCCAAACTTTTTCACTTGAAGTAACAAAATCTTTCATTACGTGTTTACTACATACATGGATACTTTTTTATTATACATCTGCCACGCTTTTGGTTTCCACCATGGGTGATGATTGGGATGTGGTGTGTGTGTGCCATCCATAAACTGTTCTTATAACGAGAAGTTGTTTGCAATTAAAAAAACTGGGCGAAGTGCTGTCTTAAATATATGTGAGAATTTATTTTATTAAGACCGAAATGGCTAGTAGTGTATAGTGGATGCTAAGCTTTATAGCCATGAATCTGAATGTTTTTGGATGTCCCAAAAAATTAAATTTCGCAGTTAGGGGACTTTGTGAAGAAATGTGGTGTGTGTGTGAGATTATGGCAAAGCCTCGAGGGCTATCTGCCTAAGGGGAGGGATGCCTTCGTGGAGGACTTTCTAAGGGAAACTGGCTCGTATACACGTTACACATGGGGAAAACCACGAAAACGCCCATGCAGCCAGCCCATTTGCGGGATTCGAACCTCGGACCAAACTACCAGTGTTCAGCGACTTTACCGCTCGGCCGCTGGTGGGCCCCTGAAGAAATGTGGAGACATAATAAATGAAGATGATATGACAGAAGTATTTCCATTCAAATGACAATGTCCCACTAATCAATCAATTAATAAACGGCAGAATCTGTAGTATGGTTCTGAATCGAGAAAATTTCACTACTAGAAAGTGAGAGATTGCTGAGAACACAAAATTTCAGTTGACAATTGATTTTTGTTGAAAGGACACATGTCCATATTTTCTCGATATTGGGGTTTTAACATTTTCTCATTCTACACCCATTCATTTTCCCATTCTACAAATATAGGCTCATTTATTTGTCATGCATGGTGAGTTGTTGAGGATAATGTGTGTTGTTGAAAGGGTACATGTCCAGCCTGTGAGCTTTTTCTCCTCTTAACACAGCACGAGGCATAGTGCGAGCGTTGCAGGTGAAACTTCTCATTGTTGTTGCAACCTATTGTTCTCTTATCAAGCTGTCTTTTTGTAAACATAGAGACTGGAGGTAGAAATAGTTCTTCTCTCTGCACCAGCATTGTCTGGGATGAATGTCATTAACGTAAAGAAAATTGATGATATCAGAAAAGTTATTTAATACATGACAGAAGAATAAAAGGATTTTTGCAACACCATCACGGTATGGCCAACCTCTACAACATCAGCACCTTACGAGAGCAAAGGCAGCTCTTAATGTGGTTGGTTAAAATTGTTTTGACTATATTTGAGTTTTAAATATTGTTTCAATATTATGTTTACAAGGTTTGTACAGTCCTTAAAAGTCCTTAGATTTTTCGGAATTGATTTTTGCTTTTTAAATTTAAAATCGGCAAAAGGTCCTTAATTTTAATAATCTGAAATTTCTGTCTATTTTTACGACTGCCATTTTGAGTGTGAATTAGCATTTTGGAGGAATATTTTTGGCAATTCGCTGACATATATGTGATTATCTTTTGAATGGGTTCATGAGTTATAATTTGTTTCTATTTTTAATATAAATAATGATGGGATACTTGAGTATACCATCATATCTTATTTATTTTAATGGAGCTTTTTTTAACAAATATTGTTAAAAAATAAAATTAATAGTGGTCATGTAAATACATAATGACTAAGGTTATCAAACTAATTTAGTTATTTATAACTAACTGCTTGCCTTTAAAAAGTATCTCTACATATTAAAGTGAGTTATTGTCTTTCATTAATACTCGCTATGGTCACAAGATAAAATACAAAAATGTAAAAATTCAAGTAAAACTTATATTCTTTGCATCTACTAATAATACAAAACAACTTATCACCTCTAGTGCTTTAATGGCTTAATGAAACCTTACAACCCCTGAAACTCGACATGAAGCTATGACACAAACTGCATGAAACAGAGCTTGACTAACTTTCAACACTTGTCAACCGTAACTGGATCAGGCCTTTCAGGTTTGTTCTAATCAGCAGGTCTCTCTCTCTAGACAAGCAGCAGTGACAACATTGAGTCTTTTGGTTATGAATCATGCATATTACTTCTCATTTTAACATATGCCGTTTGACATAAAATCTACCTATTTAGTAAACCTCTAGAATGACCAAGTATGTGATAAAATGAGTCATAAAAAAAATCAACATAAAGCTAACTGTTAGTAAAACATAAATGTCACTTATCTTCTTTCAAATATATCCAACTATTATAAGTGTAAAATGTATAATGCTACTTGATAAATTGCTTAAAGTTTATTTTATTCTCAAACTTAATTATGTTAATTCATGTTTTGTAATAATGCATACTACTGAGGGATCTATTTTACTTTTAGGATGGTATTACAAAAGTGAAATTCAGGCATAGATAATATTTTTAATTGAATTTATCCATTTTCTCATAGGTCCTTAATTTTTTTCATTAATGGTCCTTAAATGTACTTAATTTCCATGTGCAGAAATGTGTACAAACCCTGTGTTCAGTATTAAAGATTTTTGACAAAAGTAATACATTTCTGAGTGAGTAAATGTCATTTTTAATGGAACGAAAAATGTATAAGCAGTCTTATTTTGTGACACGTTTTATATTTCAATTGCTTCGAAATGCCATTTTAGTTGAAATAAAGCAAGTTATTCAAAGAAATTTCCATATATATTAACCCTTGTTTATTGTTGAAAGGGCACATGTACACAAGTTTCAAAATTGCCTAGAAATTTTAAATACTATTTGTAAAATGAAGTGTTTCATATTTATTAAAAAAATTTTAACTCTGCATTTAAAAAACTTCCATTTCTTTTTTTAATGACAAATTGCTCTTTTGCAACAATAAACTTGCTTATCTGTTTGATAAAAAGAAAAATTAATTGCATCGATTAACCCTCAGTTACAACTTTTTTTTTGCTGTGATGATACATATTATCTGATTAAAATTAAATTGCTTTAATCCAATTAAGGCTAGCCTTCTAATCCTTGAATACAAATTATTTTTGAGTAAAAGCACTTACAAGTTATCTGCCAAAGTGATGATAAAACAGAAACATATTGATACAGAAATGGTTCAAACTGAAAGAAGTTATGTTTATTAAAAAGTAGATATTTTCAACAATCAGTGGTGCTTTCAGTTTTATCTCAATTTTCAGAAATGACTGTTTTTACAAATAAATGTTCTTGTTTTGAAATACACTGGTGTGCAAAAATTAAGGACAAGACGGTTTTTTCAACATAACTTTGTACAAAAGCTTTCCAAATAAATCAACACATTTAATACCGTAAGATCCCCAATACGTAAGGACATGAGTAATGTAAGCAACACTTACTAAAAGAGAAATCAGAGGGATAAAAAGAAGCTTTATTAAAAAAGTAGCATGGAGCGCAATGCGACTGAAGGCCGAAACATCCCTGATGGGTGTCCAGCAAGAAACATCCGGTCTTTAATAGAGGATATGATCTCCCCTGACTGCTAAGCAGGTTTCACAGCGTCTGCCCATGCTGAGAATGAGGGTGTCAAGGAGTTGTTGAGGCATTGCTGCCCATTCGTCTTGCAGCGCCAATCGAAGCTCCAGAATCATTACTGGTGGTAAGGTACGAGCTGCCAAGTGTCTGCCTAGAAAATCCCATACATGCTCGATTGGACTGAGATCCGGAGATCGTGCCGGCCAATCCATACGTTCAATATTCTCACTCTCTAAGAGCTGTTCGGCAGCTACTGTGCGATGACATGGTGCATTCTCGTCTATGAAAAGGAACTGCGGACCCATAACACCTCTAAAAAGACGCACATATGGAAGAATCTCATTACAATAACAGGTCCCGTTGACTGAACCTGCGTCGAAGATGTGAAAGTCTGTGCAACTACCAAGCATGATGCCTCCCCAACGAGAACACCACCACCTCCATACCTGTCCCTTTCAATGATGTTCGAGGGATGATTGCGGCTTCCCCGCTCTCTCCAGATGAGTATGCGATGAGAATTGCTACTCAGACTGAATCTGCTCTCATCTGTAAAGAGTACTCGTCCCCATTCATTGTCTCTCCAATTCTGGTGTTCCCGGCACCACAGAGAACGCCTTCTCCGATGGGCAGGCGTTAGAGGTACACACCGTACAGGGCGTCATGCAAACAGACCACCACCGTGCAGTCTTCTGGCCGCGGTAAAATGCGATATCGGTCGCCTGTGTCGCGTCTCTAGCGATTTCTCCCGCTGTCTGCCGCCTGTTTCTTCTGGCCTGTAAGGCAATATACCGGTCATCTGCGGGTGCGGTTCCTCGTGGACGACCACTAATAAACCCCCGGATAGCTGTTCCTGTTGTTTGAAATTGTCTTCAAAGTCGTGAAATGATGCTGTGAGCAATTCCGAACTCTGCAGCCACACTGCGGCCTTCCTCCAACTTCCCAATGATTCGACCTCGGGTAAAAGCATCCAGATGTCGTCTAACAGATTGATTATTCGACATTTCTCGCTGAGGCAGCAACTCGGTGTGATTTTTAACTGCTATACAGCGTTCAATCTGTTTGCCAGAAATACTGATCTTACACCAAAAACATGCTTTATACTACTCAGACACTCCCCCATTACGTCTCCTGATTGGTCTTTCTGTCCGCTCTGCCTCTTCGTTCGGCTAATATGCTAATTTTTCGACTTCGTCCTTAATTTTTGCACACCAGTGTATGTAATTCTTTTTATTCCCTGTCATTATTTAATGGAAATCTTTGTTCTTACTAAATGTATGTCCTATTTTAGCCCCCTCATGGGTACTAACTTTTCCTTCCTTGGAGCTTTTCGTTAAAATGGTAATGGTTGAACTAATACTTTTTCACTTTTCAAATGCATGTCTGTTCTGCATTGTTGCATGATAGCCTTTGCTTATTTTGATTGCATTTCTTTTCACTGCCAAATTTTACTTACTACTTTTATAAAAAGCAAATTTTTTATATATTGAATTTAATACTTATTGTCTTCCTTTTTTTCTAGCATAACTGTGTGATAAAGAAAGAAAAGTTATTAATTTAAAGATCTGATATTTGATTCTTTACCTCAAAGATGTGAAATTTTTATTTGATCTTGCAAGAAATGTCTCTCTTAACTGGTCTTTTAAGTATGTTGTTTTAAAAAATTATAAAAAATTGAGGTTTATATCAGAGTAGGTGCTTCTCTTTAGCTGTCATTTAATGGTGACATTAGAAGCTTCGTCACTTACGAAATTTGTATTACTTATAATAGAAGTGTGCGAACAAGCAGGAAGTTCCAACAAAAAGAACTGATAATAATGAAAAAGATCACACTGCATTTGTGAATGTCTATGTTTGTAAAACCTGAACAAAATGCATTGGCCATGTTGGGTGCAGGCAGAGACTGAAATTTTTTTATGTTGGATAATAATGCTCTCTCTCTTGGCAAACCCTTAGTTCTTACTTGCGGTGTTTGTAAAATCTGGACCTGTATTTTCTGGCCCACAAAATAGGGTAAAGCATAAAGTTTTTTTAATGTAATTAATGTAATTATCCACCGTCATAAAGTAGTAGCAAGCTACAGCAAAGGCATTTTCACTCACAGTGCTAGTTTTTGAATAAAACAGAGGTGCAGTGAGTGTCAAGCAGAGTAAATTGGCACTTAGAGACACACTTAAGGTAGAAGATGCTGCCATCTGCTTAATAATTTTTCTTTTATTAGTACAGTCATTAAATTAAATTTAGTAAGATATGTAGATATGGCAACATTGTGATTTTCTTTATTGTTTAGATCATCAGGTAGGAGATTGTTAGATCATGCTAGCCTCCCAACAGAGCTAGCAGGAGAATTTTGGAGCAGCGAAAGTCAGGAATGACAAAATTTTCAGAATTTCAAAGAGACAGGAGGCAGCAGAATTCAGGACCCATTAAGATTGCACAGGATAGCAAAATTGTGCAGTGCTAGTCCTTTCCCTACTACAGTGTTAGTCAATATGCTTAGTTACTCCTAGCAAGCAGGTGTTTTTACAAGTGGCATGCAGGAATCTCAGACAACAGAAATGTTGCATTTATATCACACCTGCTTTTTGTTAATATTATTTTTTCCATTCCTAGATTTTTAGTGCCATGGTTTTTATTGGGGGGGGCTGATGGTTTGGAGGTCCGGATTTTGGACTTTGCTATTTATCCTTTATGATTTTTGCTTTCTATTAACTTTGGGTATGCACAAAATACTGTTATAAAATTTAAAAACAATCAGCTATGGTTAAGGAATGAATTTCCTCCATTTTAGATAAATTGCTATGAGAAAAATTGTTTCAGTTTGCAAGTTGCCTTCAGGAATAAATTAAATTTGTAAAGAGGCTTCGCTGTATTTCAGACTTAGAAAAATTACAAATAGCTCCATAATTTCGAAGTACATAAAACATGTGTAAGAAAAATATGTTTATAATTTGACAATTTCTATTTCAGACATATGTAAACAAAGTGAGGGAGAAGGGAGCATTAGAAAGCCCTTTTTTTTTTTCTTTTGGTTGTTCAGCCCATTTCAGTGACAGCTTCTTTGACCAAGCATGTATAGTTTCTGCATTTCTGATGTTATATTCTTAAAATTTGGTCATGGATTTGCAGCAGTAACAACTTTGACTGTGAAAGTTAAAACAAGCAGCTTGGAATAAGATGCCTTCCCAAGTAGTGTGCATTTTTTTAGAAAATGCACTGAATGTTAAAATAGCAATTTCTTGCTCTTTTCCTCAATTCTCTTTGGAATGGAGAAAACCATGTCAGAATCCTTCCCCCCCCAACCCCATAATAAAATTGTAATAGCTTTAATATCTAACCTTTATAACAAAAATAATTGAATAAGATGGTGTAGAATAATGATGTAACTAGTCATCAAATTGCATTTGAGCTTAGTGTTTTCCCATCCTTCATTTTTTGTGAACAATTTTTTTCTAAAAGAAACTCGTTTTAATGTAAAACTTAATCTAATGTGCCTTTTTCTTGATGCTTGTGTAATAGAGGGAATATGTGAACTTAGCCCTCAACTTTTTATCCTTCCTTTTTAAATATTTAGTAGCTTTTATTATATTATTATTAGTAAACCATCAAAATCGGAGATAGTCAACCTTTTTATACTTACCACCCACTTGTAGGTAGTAAAACTTCCTTACTTTCAATGGAGGCTTAATAATAGTAAAAATATATATAAAAACCAATTTATCTATTTATTTATACTTTGCTTGTATTTATAACAAACAGAAATTTTTGTTCTGCATACCTAACTGGAACATTGGTTCCAGTGGAACTATTATGGCTAGGAAAAGGAGAAGCTTGTTTATCAGAAAAATTTATGCTAACCTCGCATTTTGTTAAGGCATGGCAATACTGTTTGTGCACAGAAGCACCTGAGAGAATTAGCAAAGCCTTATAAATATATTGAAACAGGAGGGAGATCTGTGCAGAAGAACAGAGCTTCATCAGCAGATGGACAAAAGCCTCTAAACACCTACTGTTAAAGCTTAAATCGTCTACTAGTATTAGCAGTAGGCATCTTGCAATACTTTACATCTAATACTTTTCTAATCACAATAGCTGATGTTATTAAATGTTAATATACTTTTACATAAAAGCAGATTTTTAGAGGCATGCAGATGTAATATGAAATTTTAGTCTATCCTGCTGAAATTGTTAGGGGGCTAAAGTTCAAAAATGGCTGCACTTAATTTGCTTAAAAAAAAAGCTAGTTATGGGTTAGCATCGAAATAAATAAGTTAGCAAAATAATGTGAATAATTTTGAATGTTGTATTGTGAAAGTTTAATTGTAATTTTATATAATTATTATTGAAAATCAGTTATTTTTTGTAGAAATATTTAATATATAATCTGTTTTCTTTTGTATCTTGTGAAATAACAGCAGCAAGCCCGATCCCCAACAGAACCTGTCTATGCTCAGGTAAACAGAGAAAAAAAGAAAGGACGCCATTCAGATATCCCAGTACAGCTTCTCTCCAATGAACAACCAGATGGTATGCCAGCTGGCGACTCATGGGTGTGATCTGTCACCTCTCCTGTCAGTCCTGTTCTTGCTTCCTATTGCGACTGCCCGTTTCCAATTCCACGCAGAGAGCAGAATGTAGAATAAATGCACAGTCCTAAGTACGTCGCTCAAAAACAGTGTGGTGGTGTCGCCAGCTATTGTTCAAAAACTGATGGAAGCATTCATGCATGAAGCTGATTCAGTCCTGAATCAGTTTATCTAACCTTCCTTTGCAGCTGGTCCGTTCACTTACGGGTGATAACAAATTAAGAATGAGTTGACCAGCATCACGAGTATGCAAGAGAAAATTCAGGGGCAACGGTGTATGAACTGGTGTTGCGAGCAAAATACTTTCTCCTTGAAGTCTTGCTCGTTACGTGCCTCCTTTATTTGTGTATACAAGATGACAGGCAGTTATACCACTGTTCCCGTGTTTCTTGCCTATTCAGACAGCTGTTTGTGCCAATCATAAAATGCTTTCTGCATTAAGTAGCTTGCATTAAAGTAAGCTTGGCAACAGTACGTGTTCAGAGTGTATGCTTCTTTCATTTCCTGATTAAAGCTCAAAAGATGACTTTCTGATTAGTGACAAATTTTAATAGGCTATCTATGCTGTTAATTTAGATAGCCTTGCCTTAATATGTTGCTGAAAAAAATATGAACGAATAATAGGCCCACAGATGTTGGTCCTAAATTCTCTAATCAAGTTTAGAGATATGAAAGTGTTTTTGAAGCCATGACAAACGACTGTGTAAATTTTAAAACACACAAAGGGGGGAAAACTGTTTAGCCTGGGTATGTGTGTGCTGTTGCATTTATTATATTTGTCATGGAAGTCATGTTTCCTCAATGTTTTTTTTTTATTTTTTGCATCTTGTTTTTACATTTATGCTAGAAAATTTGATTTAAAAGCTTTTGTTAATGAAATACGCTATTACGAGCAATATTTTTTTTCAGTATTAATCACAGTTTTAGAAAGCCACAAAAGTCTTTCATTATTGTTCTGTGTTGTGTTTTTAGAGAAAATTTTCAAAGACAATAGTAAAAGATATTTTAAAATAATTTTAGTGTTATATGAAATATAGTTTTCATCCTTTGATTATCATTCAAGTTTGGAGTTTCGTAGTAACCTGTTCAAGCACCATTTGCTAATATATTGATATTTAATACACTATAGATACATATTAACAATTTTTTTATAAACAAATTGCAAAGACTTCAGAGTAAAACCTGATGGTGTAAATGTGATATAAAACATAGATTGTGTTCATAATTTTATGATGTGCAAAATTTATTCATTTGTTCGAAGTGAATGTTTAAAAATCACAAACTTCATGTTTTAATTTCATCAACCATAGCATTATGGGGGACTGGAAAAATTGAATATTTCTTCATTTTGAAATAGAAATATGCTTTAGTTATTTGGAAATGGCATAGACATACGCACTGGCAAGTGTAATCCATTTATATGACAGTATATATATCTTTAAGGTGCTACAAAACATCAAACATTGAAAACTCTTGCCCATTCCATGAGTTTATATTTTATGTGCAGCTTTTGTATTATATTATTTTATATTAGATTTGTTAATATTTCTGTGTATGCCCTGACTGACTATAAAAATGCATGCTATTTGTTTTAAGTTATTGTGATTATTAAGAGTTTGATACTCCTGATGGGCAGGCCAATGTTTTTAATTTCAAAATTTACACTACTGAAGTTGACCTGTTTACATGTTTAAAATGTTGCATTTTTAAGTCATTTTACATAATATGAAGATGTGCAGAACTCAAAAGTGTCAAAACTTGTCTAGTTGAGCAACTTGATTAATAAATTTTGTCATGCAGTTTTGGTAGTTTTTATTCATCTATTTTTCATGCACTTTGCATAAAATTTCCTTTTTGAATGGGTCTTATGCTAGGGGGTGAAAGTCCTACGTTATGTCATATGTGCGAAATTTTTTAGATTATTTTGTGGAATTTTAAATGCAGAATTACTTAGTTTAAGAAATCACTCAGAAACTTGTATGTAAAGTATAATGAACAAATTACTGTCATGGCTAACAGGTGCCAAAGCTGTAGAAGTGTTTTTGCCCGTTTTAGATGCTGTGATATATAATAGTAAAAGTGACTCTTTGCTTCTTGCAGCAATATCATTAATTATAAATTCAGAAATAATATACATAAAAATCAAAAACACATTTTGATAAATCAGAAACTTTCAAATTTTAAACGCTTGCCACACGTTTACAAGTAAGTATTCAAATGTTAATGGATGAACAAAACAACATTTATTTACTCCCTTCTGTTCTTAATCCATCTGAACTAAACTTACAACCATAAACTAGCAAGTCTGTTCTAGGAACAGGATTTAAAAAATTTAAAACCTTGCTCCACAGAACATCCCAGCTGGTTTTTTCTTGAAATAACATTTTTTTTAACTGTTATTCACATTTAATGATTTGAGCTCAAATGCAAAACAAATATTCAATTTCATGAAACAGAACTCTGAATATTAAACTCGAAAGTTTTTTTCTTTTCTCTAGCTACGCTAACGACTTTAAAAAATACTGTACATTCTTTCATTGATTTAAAAATGTACACTGAAACCTGAATTTGTGTAGTACTGTTAGTCATTATTAATACATTATTATATATAATTAAAACTCGTTTCAGTACAAAATCTATCTTCTTCCAAGTTGCAACTTCAAAAAGTTATTTGAATACTTTCAAAACAAAAAAAGTCAAGGATTTAAAAAGTGCCCTAGTGTAACGCCATGAAGTTTGAGACAGCCCAGCAAGCAACTTATACAGACCATCACTCAATCAGGCTTGCTGATGTCCAGGAGCCAGTAGGTAAAGTAACTGCGGATTAGATGCAGTTACTTTAATTTAACCAGGCCTAATATGCCTTGATGCAGAATATGAAGTGGTAACAAACCATCTCTAAAGATCTGAAACTGATGGAAAAGGTCACGTATTCCGAACACACCAAAGCATGGAAAATAAGCCGTGTTGAGACGACTTTTGTGCAAAGCCTGTATGATATGCGATATTACCTGGACGACATGTTCGTCAGGAAGGGTTTTCAAAAACATTTAGAAAATCTTAAAATGGGTGCTTTGGAAACTGAAAGAAGCCAATCTAAAGTCCCACCAAATGTAAAATGTTCACACAAGAAGCGACTTACCTTGGACATGTCATCTGTCGAAGGTGTCTATACATATCCAGTAAAAGTATTAGCAGTTAAATTTTGGAGATGCTCTGAAATTGTTTATCAGCTGAGAAGTTTCCTGGAACCACTACAGGAGATCTGCAAAGGAGAGGGTTGCCACTCAAACAGGAGAATGAAATTCCCTGACACAGGTGTGTATCTAGAAAATTCCAGGTTGTGCCGAGGGTAATTAATTATGGTACCACCTGAAAACACAAAAATTTGCCAATCTCATATGATTATATATAAATATATCCTCTATATATACATCTCAAAGCATTACTTAAATATTTTATATTAATTTAGCAGCCTACATAAGTAAAAAATATGATGATATGTCATATTACGGCTGGAATTAGTTTCACAAGTATGCCATAGAAAATTGCCTGAAATTTCAAAATATTATTAACTAACAATAAATAAATTTAGAAAGAAGACACATTAAACAATACAAAATAACATTAAAAAAAAGTTAATTTACTTAAGAAAGAAGAAAAGGTGTAAAAGATTTTTCTTTATATGAGAATGGGGAAAATTTACTTTCATTCAACATGAACATGCAAATTTCTGCCCATCATTTCCAGCACACTTACATAAACCTTATTTCCAACTTAATGTAAAATATTCCCCCTGCCCAGAAAATTTATATGATAAAAAAAGGTAAATTTAAATTATGTTGACTACTTCTTTACTTACATAATCTAAATAAAATCAAGTTGAAATTTTATGCATATTTATCATTAATACCACCTTTTGCTTATAAATATTTAAAAAAAATTACATGACTAAATTACACACGAATGATTGTTTATATGTCTATTTTTTGCTTGATTAAGATCAACTCATTTGTAATGTACAGTCAAAAACTCTTTAATCCCGACTCGTCGGGACTTCGGCGATTCTGGATTATCGATTTTTCCGGATTATAGATCATCAGTTTAAATCTGGTAAGATGGCATGCAGAAATTATAAAATTAAAAATATGAAACCGTAATTTATAAAATAATGAGCAATTATGATCTAAAGGGTATCAAAATTTACAAAAAAAAGAAGCTTAATATTTATTTGTTTAGTTTATTAAACATTTCTTTCAATGCGCGCATGCGTACCTTAAGCATAGCCGAAATTAGAAAATTGCAACCAGAAAACTATTTGATTTGTATTCGTGATATTTATAATGACGAGGAATTTGATTTAAATCATATCAAAGACAGAGTACAGCGAGATTAAATACTAAAAATTTAGTAAGGAATTATAAGCCGAATAAAATAAAAACATCTGCCCTGAAGATAACAATAGTGGTGACAGATTCATTGCGCGCCGCGACGTCCGCCCCCCACCCCCGCGCAGAGCAGGGTGAAATTGATAAACAGATTTCAGAACGGTTAGATAAACAAAGGATATACCTATATCCATTTTTTGTAGCAATTCGTTTTTTTGTTTGATGGACGTGAATCATACTTTCGTTTTCTAGATCCTTTAGGAGCTTCAGCATCGGAAATTCTATTTGACATAATCGAAAGTTCAAGCTTACTTTTATAAAATTGCTCTTACAGTCTGAAAAAAATAATAAGCCGGATCCAATTCAAAGATTAAGGAACAACGCAATCATCAACATTAACTGCAATAGATAATTTTAGCTTATACAGTCAGTTATACATTGAACACGCACGCGAAAACGTGTTCTGCGCTTGTGCAGACGCATATGCGCAGTCGTAAATGTCTTGCACGCACGCGTAAAATGCCTATGACCATGTGTCAACGTGGCGCGTGCGCAGAAAGATTTTAGCTTTGAGGTCTGGATTATAGATCATTCCGGATTATGGGTGTCCGAATTAACGACTTTTGACTGTATTAAATTACGTATTCTCTTCGAAAATCTTGTGGACTTTAGGATTTCGTGGAAAATCGGAACTGCATATTATACCTATGACAGCTAAATATTATATTCGTAAATTATTATTTCGATTTATGTCACTATAATCATAATGAGAGCCTGAAAATGTGTGTGTTTCAGATTTTCAAAACATAAAGGATGAAACCCATAAATGTGATGGACAAGCAATGCTGATTTACTTATTCTTTGCTAGATTGTAAAAGAACACGGTATCCATAAAACAAAATAAAAAGGCAAAAAAGAACATAAAATCTGTCAAACACAGCAAATTATATTTAGAAAATACTAATAGTTATTTTACGAATTATTCTAAAGGTTGAAAATGCCACTACTGCTGAAGTAGGTATGTCTATCTTTACCTAAAAGATAAAATACAATTAGAAACTTCGTTAATACAAGGTATTTTAGAAATTTGTTAACTGAAGAAGATATTTCGGTACCTTCTCATATTTCTTCTGAGGATATTTCGGTACCTTCCGAGGGTTAATTTATTGGGCTTGCGTGCGGCAAAGCCATATATACATATGGTTTAGAATATTTTTTGTGATGTCTGTAAGAATGTATATATATGTGTATATTAAAATATGTCAAAGAAATTAAGGCAATATATCAAAAGAAAACAAATCCAGGTATGAAATACTAGTAGAGTTTTTACATTCAAATCAAAAAAATTTGTTCTAGTCATTTTGGGAAATTTGTGCTTTCTTAGCAAAAACCCTGGCTGCTCAGAGCGTTAATGAGATGTAACTTTATTTGACGATTCTTTCTTTTGCTTTCAAAATGCCTTTCTGAAAGTCACAGTTACCTTCTAAATGTAGTCAAATGTTTAAGAAATGTATTAAAATAATTTACCTTTTTACTCTTAATCCAGTCTTTTATGTTAAAAAAAACTTGTACAGTATAAAGAAAGCAGGGAGGGGCTATATATTTATACAGTTCTAATTATTCTAAACCTTTTAGAATAATTCTATACCATAACATTTTTCTTTCTAGTGCAGTGTTACTTTTTCCACTGCTTTTTTTTTTTTTTTTTTATTTATACACTAGTGTTCTCATGCCCTCATACCCAGATTTATATTAGAGATATTCTCTAATTATCTGCCAAAAAGTTAACTCGGTCTAATAAGCTATTTTAATATATTATTACTCAGACTATAATATCACCACATCATAAAAATGAATAGCAGAATGTTATCAATGGAAAAAGAAAAGTTCCTGAAAATCATGACAATAATAAGAAACATTTACGAGTCTCTGTCTAGTAAATATCTTAGAAATTAATGAAATCTACTTGCTAGAATTTATTTCATCAATGAATAAGAACTGAAATAATTGAAATCATCATAAATGGCTAAAATTTTAAAGCATAAAAATATGACTAGGTTGTTTTTAGCAAGTTTTGCATTATGAATCCTAAGTTACCAGTTGACATTATTAATGATGAAACTTTAAAAATTAATAAAATTACCAGTAAATAAAATTAAGTAACATATACGGATATAATTGTAATAGCACAGTAAATTTTTGAATTTATATACCAATCTGTGCAGAAGAGAGAAAATTATAGCCAATGCTGAAAATTTCTATATTCACTTTTGCTGGATCAATTTTCCATAAAATGTAAAAAACAATTTTCCGTACACATAGATCATTATTTAAATGGATGTAAATCTTTACAGCACGCTTACATAAACCTTACTTCCAGCTTAATGTAAAATATTCCCCCCCCCAGAAAA